TCCATGTATTATATTATATATTTATTTTTTAGTCCCGTAAACCACATATGCAAGAATGTGTGTGTATGCGTGTGACCTAAGCCTCTTCTTTAGTTGCAGACTGTCATGGATGATCCTTTTCACAAACTCCAGCTCTCCACCCTCAGCCATGATCTCAGTGACCCCCCCAGTGTTGATGGAGCTGGGTGGAGGTCTGCGGGAGTTCCTCGAATTCACCCCCTGATGGAAGAGACAGAAAAGAGGGGAAGAAGCAGAATAAATAATGGAAAACCGCTATTGTCATGTGCACAAAGAGACAGATACTACTAGAAAACAGCCTGGGGGTTTTACAGTTCTTGTGTGTAGTGTCAAACACTGGAGCTGATGGTACCTTTGCTTCTAACTGGTTGGCAAAGAAAGGTGGATTGCACATACAGAAATCATAGACAATGGACTCATCCTTGAGCGCATCCATCAGCAGAGTCTTCTGGGGCACCTTCACCACTGCAACACACACAATTATGTGGTTCAGTGGGTTAAATTACATATAAAACTGTCAAGCTCTCTCTCTGCATCACACACACACACAAACACCCCACACCTACCTTTAATGAGCTCTGCCAGGTGGTTTTGCTCAACGTTCTTCTTTGCATAATTAAAGCAGATGTCATCCACTTCTGTGGCGAGGAAGAACCAGCCATTCATAGTGGCTCCCAGCAAGGGATAAATACAGGAAGCACCAGTACCTGCACAAAGCCAAAACCAGTCACATCATAAGCTTAAATACAAATGAAATATGATCTGCCTCCAAGTCACAACACTTCAGATCAACGGTGCGGTTCAAAGAATCATGAATACTTTATGGTGTTATTGTATCAATTTCACATATTTAGTATCTAAACTAGTGGTCTGCCAATATATCTTGCCATTTTTCAAATATTGGCTGTGGTCGATAAGTTTTTCCTGTTTGGCCTTTGCATTCGACTTTTATTTTGACGGCGCTGAGAACGGCAGCGCCTGAGCACTAGTGATGGGAAGTTTGGATCATTTTACCGACTCGGACCTTTGAGTCTTGTTCAGCAAAATGAACAAATCTTTTTTCGAGTCATTCTGTTCATTTTAGCAAAATATATTTAAAATGTTACGTGTTACTTCCCTAATACGTCTACTACTTACGAAAACGTTGATCACACTACAAACAATACAAAACTGCTATAAGAAACAGAAAAGATTAATTCATTGTTTACCTGGGTCTTCAGTCTATTATTAGCTCAGATTATTCCGGCTCAGACTGCATTGGTTAAAGCTTATGGGGCTGTCACGTGATGAACGAACGACTCGGAAAAACCCGAAGACTCGAAACAGGTGAACTACTTGACTAATTCCAGTACAGAACCTATAGGATGTTGCGCATCACTCCCCGAGGCGACTCGTTCTTCCCGAGTCACATTAAAGATTCGTTCAAAATGAACAAATCGTTCAAGAACGACCCAACACTACTGAGCACACAGTACTCACATTCTCCCTCTTATTCGCCGTCGTCATTAACAGTTCTGTCTAATACGGATAGAAGTCTGTCTAATAATCAGATAGAACGGTTAAACAAAGGAATTAAAATGTATACAAAAAAGTATTATAATGATTGCTTTAATATTATTAGTTACAAATCCTACTAGTCTCGCTTGCCGTCAGCATTCAGCAAATATGCATTTAAATCATTTGAACAAATCGTTGAATGTCTATTAATGAACATATCATTTCACAAACCTTGCAAACTTAGTCGAATCTAGTTGAGATCTTGTGAAGTGTGCATGTGTATCCTGCATGATCGCGTGTGCTCTGCGTGATGGTCGGTCTGTGCGAATTGAATGCGGACAGGAGGAGAGTTCAGCTTCACTGAAGATGCGCAATCGACAAAATTTAAACTCGTGATTTCAAATTATGCTGTGCTTTATCCATTTGCCCACTGTCATATTCATGTCATTTTCACTGTGTGCTGTATGTAAAATGACTGTTACCTTGGCTTTATTTGAAAAAATATGATTCCCAATGCACACAAACTTCCCAGATTACTTAGTGCCCATTACTTAGTGTTGGTTACAATGTTGACTTTTTATTAAATATTTATTTGAGAAAAATACATTGTCATCTAAAGTATGTTTATTTTACACATTTATTTTTAAATCCATTTTCAAATGATTTAAAATTTCTTAAATATTAAAATTAATAAAATTATATCGGCTTTATATCGGCCACCCTGCTTTCCAAGATATCGCATAGGCAGTCAAAAAAAAACTATATCGGTCGACCACTAATCTAAACTAAGCTCAGAATATCTGATCACCTTGGTTAGGTTAGGTTAGGGTTAGTTAAATATTATCATATATTGCTATATGATCATATTCAACTAAATTTGTTCTCTAGGAAAGGAGAACTTAAATGTGAAATTAAGACTATTAACTATATTTCAGATTTTGGCTATTGAAATGAGAACAAAATAAAATAAAATAAAAATCAATTAAAAGTGAACTTTTCACATTTCAAATAAAAACAAACACAAATGTGTATGCTATTCAAAAGATTCATGCAATATTTTTGTTAGTTTCAACGCAAAATATACAGAATATTAAAAATAACTTGTATTTCAATTGTTATATCAAACAATTTTACCACCAAATGTTAGAATTCCTAAAGAAGTATTAGTATGATAATATGAAGTGCAAGCAACTGCTTGACAGAGTGATGTATGACTATAATGCAGTTAGACCGAGGCAGGACAGCTCTGGTCATCCATTTTTCAGTCAGGCAGCCTTAAAATGGACTGAAATTTAGCAGAACTAAACAAAGATGATCCCCATAAGGTCTGAAGAAAAGAGATTTAGAGCTATTCATCATATGTGTGACACTAACACAGCTAATCTCATCCCAGAGCTGGCAAAGGTCGTCAATCTGCAATCTAACCCGATCAACAGAGCCATAACTATATCATCCACACAATCTGACACAACAGCTGAAAGTGTATGGATGATCACCACCAGTGGAGATGAAATAAACAACTTTTCTAAGACTTTTCTGGTTTTAATCTGCAAACCGTCTAACAACTAAAAGACTGCATGCTAATCAAAGCAGGACCACTAAAAATATATATACACAGGTGCACCTTTCCAAAAAAATTTTTAATATCGTGAAAAAGTTTTTTGTAACTTATTTCAAAAAATGAAACTTTCATATATTCTAGATTCATTATATGTAAAGTAAAACATTTCAAAAGTTTTTTTTTTAATTTTGATGATTAGAGATTACAGCTCATGAAAGCCAAAAATCCAGTATCTCAAAATATTAGAATATTTCCTAAAATGAATAAAAAAAAAAGGATTTGCAAAACAGAAAAGTTCAAGTTCTTTAAAGTAGGTTCATTTATGCACTCAATACTTGGTCGGGGCTCCTTTAGCACAAATGACAGCCTCAGTGAAGTGTGGCATGGAAGCGATCAGCCTGTGGCATTGCTAAGGCACCATTGAGCCTTCAGCTCGTCTGTATTGCTGGATCGACTGTTTCTTATCTTTCTCTTGAAAATATCCCACAGATTCCATATGGGGGTCAGATCAGGCATGTTGGCTGGCCAATCAAGCACAGTAATATCATGGTCAGCAACCACTTGGAAGTGGTTTTGGCACTGTGGGCAGGTGCTAAAGTCCTGCTGGAAAAGGAAATCAGCATCTCCATAAAGCTTGTCAGCAGATGGAAGCATAAAGTGCTCCAAAATCTCCTGGTAGACGGCTGCATTGACTTTGGACTTGATAAAACACAATGGACCAACACCAGCAGACGTCCCGGCAACCCAAATCATCACTGACTTCGGGAACTTCACACTGGACTTCAAGCAGCTTGGATTCTGTGCCTCTCCAGTCTTCCTCCAGACTCCAGACTTTGATTTCCAAATGAAATGCAAAATTGACTTATCTGAAAAGAGGACTTCGGACCACTGAGCAACAGTCCAGTTATTTTTCTCCTTAGCGCAGGTAAGATGCTTCTGACATTGTTTCGGTTTCGAAAGTGGCTTGGTAGCCCTTTTCCTGAAGACATCCGAGCGTGGTGACTCTTGATGCACTGACTCCAGCTTCAGTCCACTCCTTGTGAAGCTCTCCCAAGTGTTTGAATCAGCTTTGCTTGACCGTGTTTGCAAGCTCCCTGTTGCTTGTGCACCTTTTCCTACCCAATTTCTTCCTTCCAGTCAACTTTGCATTTAATATGCTTTGATAAAGCACTCTGTGAACAGTAGTAATTGTCGCCCCTTTCAGTAATGACCTTCTGTGACTTACCCTCTTTGTGGAGGGTGTCAATGATTGTTTTCTGGACCATTGCCAAGTCAGCAGTCTTCCCCATTATTGTGGTTTTAAAGAACAAGTGATACCCAGAATTTATACTGTAGGGATGGTCCTTTAAAGAAACTCAAATGTAAATTATTCTAATATTTTGAGATACTGGATTTTTGACTTTCATGAGCTGTAAGCTCTAATCATCAAAATTAAAACGAAAAAACTTTTGAAAGTTTTACTTTACATGTAATGAATCTAGAATATATGAAAGTTTCACTTTTTGAAATAAGTTACGCTTCTGACATTGTTTCGGTTTCGAAAGTGGCTTGGTAGCCCTTTTCCTGAAGACATCCGAGCGTGGTGACTCTTGATGCACTGACTCCAGCTTCAGTCCACTCCTTGTGAAGCTCTCCCAAGTGTTTGAATCAGCTTTGCTTGACCGTGTTTGCAAGCTCCCTGTTGCTTGTGCACCTTTTCCTACCCAATTTCTTCCTTCCAGTCAACTTTGCATTTAATATGCTTTGATAAAGCACTCTGTGAACAGTAGTAATTGTCGCCCCTTTCAGTAATGACCTTCTGTGACTTACCCTCTTTGTGGAGGGTGTCAATGATTGTTTTCTGGACCATTGCCAAGTCAGCAGTCTTCCCCATTATTGTGGTTTTAAAGAACAAGTGATACCCAGAATTTATACTGTAGGGATGGTCCTTTAAAGAAACTCAAATGTAAATTATTCTAATATTTTGAGATACTGGATTTTTGACTTTCATGAGCTGTAAATCATCAAAATTAAAACAAAACAAACTTTTGAAATGTTTTCCTTAGCATGTAATGAATCGATAATATATGAAAGTTTCACTTATTGAAACAAGTTACAAAAAAAATAATATTTTTCACGATATTCAAATTTTTTGAGCGGCACCTGTGTGTGAGTGTATATATATATATATATATATATCTCTCTCGACAATTGTGACCCATCCCTACTGATACCAAGAGTAAACATGGACAGTTGTTTAGGTATTTAGAAACAGGATTCTGTCTGAGGATGGCCATGATGTATGATGTGATGGTGGTGGAGTGGGATATTTTAATCCAGAAGATCTAGTGGCATGTGACTGCCAGTGTCTTACTCTCCACCAGCCATTGTTGTATGAATGTGTGTGTGTGTATGTGTTTGTATTAACCAACAAACTGCCCTTCCAAACCCTGTACCACCAGCCTGAGTGACCGCAAAGGGCTTTAACAGGATAAAACCAGTGAGTGTGAGCCGGCATACCGATGTCGATGCCCCTCCGTGGGTTCCCCTGCCCCCCAATCAGGTCCTCAACCCAGTGGATGTAGTTAAGGCGGAGCGGCACGGTGGGGATGAGCCGTTCCAGGGGGATCTCAATGGTTAGGCCAAAATCCTCTTTCAGCAGGGTGCATGTGAGAGCTCGAACAGCCTCCGGGTCCTTAAAGTTGAGCCTGTGGGAGGGATGGAGTTCAGTGGGGCGTAATAGACTGAAAACCATAGAAAAGAAACAGCTAATAGCCATCTTTAAAAACACACCACATTCCCTCTTCTCAATTCATTAGTGCTAATCATAAAAACATTCATGCCGAGAAATTCAATGAAGCAGCAGCTGCCACTGCCACTGGTTTGCAAAAATGTATTAATGGAAGAAATGCCTTCATAATCACTGTCCCTTTTTCTCTAAATCCTTAATGTACATCTTAAAGCATTCAGCGAGAGTAACGTCACGTTTCTGCGGTTCTAAATGCGAGGAGGGTGAGGCAGGTGTAATTAGGGAGCTTTCGTACGTTCACACCCCTATAGATGTAATTAAACGCTTCATGCTGCAGACCATGTCTGGCACTTCTGAAGGGAAGCAAGATGTGCGTGTGAGCCGCACGGACAGGATACTGTGGAAAGAAGCCATGGTGTGTGAAATGCTATTTTACAGAGCCTTTAAAAACACCTGCACCCCACCTTAAGCATAAGAGCTCCTCACAAAAGGGATGTGCGACATTAAGGACAGAATGTGCTCTCTACGTAATGGCTGTACTGGGCTTAAACAGACGTGTGCAAGCATTACCAATTTAGAAAGAAATTGCTTCAGCCCAAAGCTTATCTTATGACTGTGAAATTACATTTGAGGTGTCAATACGTTAAGGAGGGAAAATGCAAGTTAATGCAAAAGGAAAAAGAGCATTTCTGCTGTTTGAATAGCATTTTGGCTGCTCACATTCGCATGTTAGATACTATGGTCAGAGAAACTCAGCAGTCTAGTTATGAAATGGTTAGAACCTGCTTGAGAAGCTGAGTAGTGTTTTGGGAAAAGCCTTGTTTTTCATATTGTGGAATATGATGCTTCAGACAATAAGGTTTTGTGTTTTCTGGTGTAGGTGGAGATTCTTTGATATGGCAGTCAGGTCTGAAGTTAAACTAACCTAAAACCACTGACAGATATTATAGCAGTGGCTGATAACTGTGGCTATAAAACCAACAAGCATTATAAATCCTACTAAGCGTACAATTATAATGCAAACATATACAATGGCGCACATACCAGATTATGAAAATATAGAGAATATATAAGTATTAAAAAAAAATCTAACTAAAAATGTATGATTTAAAATAAGGAAATATTTAAATGTGTTAATAAGATTTCACAAAATTACATACTGTATATTCGCTACTGATCAAGAGTTAGCAGTGGTCTCATATGCTCACCGAGGCTGGATTTATTTGTTTAAAAATGCAGTAAAAACAGTAGTATTTTAAAAATATTACTACAATTCAAATACTCTTTGCTATTGTAATATATTTGAAAATGTAACTTATTCCTGTGATGGTAAACCCAAAATGTTCAGCATCATTACTCCAGTAATATTAGAAATAATTCTAATATGCTGACTCAAGAAACATTTTCTTATTATAAATGTAAAAAATTGGTGACGCTAATTTTTTGTTGAAACCATTATACAGAAAACAATTTAATTGAAATAAATATTTAATAACATTATAAATGCACTAACTGTCACTTTTGATAAATGTAATATGTCCTTGCTTCATAAAAGTATTAATTCCTTTTGAACAGTAGTGCATGCTCAAATTGTTTGCTAAAGAAAGATATAATCTAATCTAATAAAATAAAATAAATAGAATAAACGGTAATAAAAACAAGCATTTTAACTAGTGGTCCACTGTACATATAGGCTTTAGACTACATATCGGTCATTAACCACACACGTCTTTGGAAATCAGCCATCAAAGGACATTAGTGGACCACAACCTTAACATTGTGACGTTTTCTTTATTCTAACACAAATAAGAGCACAACACAAGAAAGGAAACATTCCAGCAGCAACCGTTCATGTGAAAAATTCAATACAACTTCTATCTTTGCAATTTACACAGCCCTAATTAAGCCAGTGATCCAATCTAGCCTATTAATCTTGAAAATGTGACCTTGGGAATTAAATATGAATATGGATGGAATAGAAGGTTTCCATGGTTACCACTTAACAGGATTACCTACAATAATAATAAAGCACAAATGGCGACAGCAAATAAAACAAGGGGTGTAGATTTTACAAGGGAGGCCAAAAATGACATAATGGAGACCCAGCAGCTCATCTGATCCTCACAGAGTGTGTAAATGATCCTGTGTGACTGTGACTGACCTTGCATCCGTCGGGTCATAATCAGTGTGCAGAGGATGAAGCTGCGAGAACTGTTATACTGCTCTCTATTTTTAGCCTCCATTTGAATGGCTCGGCTCACAGGACGAAGTCCGAGTGCCGCAGCCCAGCTGTCTCCACAGTAACCGCTACACCCACCCCGCAGAGAAGTGTGTGTCAGTGGAGCAGTGTGTGTTAGTGTGTGAGAGTATGGTGATGCTGACGTGTGGTGGGTGTGTATATGGGCAGATTAGATTCAGGATGAGAAACTCAGAAACTGCAACCCTCTGACTCAAGGACTCCGAAAGGAATGATTCTAAATTAAGAAAAAAGACTGCAAAGGAAGGTTTAAGTGGGTAGAAATCAGAAGATTCAGAAAGAGATCATAATGAGCTTGAATATCACAAAAAACACTGCAGTCACGATAACCGAAGTTCGTATCAGAAGTGTTGAAAAGCAACATTTTTACTACTACTTTGGGTTGCCGTTTGATGTGAAATCGAGCAAAAGCACTGCTCGAACCAATCAGACTAACACGGCACAGCATGGGTCTACTCATCAGCACCGCAAGGTCACCTCTAGAGCTCAGTTTAGCCATGTTTTAATCCACCGAACTCAAACACTTCCAAACCCAACCATTAGCAAACAAAGCATGGATGCCGAACACACTCCACAGCTTTTTATTGTGTTCTGTGAGAACAAAGAATCTAGCGGTGCAGTTTTAATAAGATAACGGAGAGCCAAGCGGTCTTGTGAGGATTGACGTTCCACCAACTGTCAGGTTTTCTTTGGTTTTGTCAGCACATCAAATCTCTAGTCGACCAGGATCTCGTTTCAACTTAACACTGCTGTAAACACGAGCCCGCCGAATATCCTGAGGACTTTCGCCTCTGAGATTTGAGGATGGTTTCTGAAAGCAGAAACTAACTGCAGTTACATCATTTACAAAAAACTGTCATCATTTACTCACCCAAGTTATTCCAAACCTGTATGACTTCCTTTCTTCTGTGGAAAACAAATGAAGATGCTTTGCATAATATCCAAACTGCTCTATTCCATACAATGAAAGTGAATGGTGAGACTCAAGCTCCCAAAAGATGTAAAAGCACAATTAAAGCATCATAGAAGCGTTCCAACGTATGCACAGTATTCCAAGTCTTATGAAGTCATACAATAATTTTGTTATTTTGGGTGGATCACCCAAAACCTGTATGCATTTCTTTCTTCTGCTAAACAAAAAAATATTTTAAAACAATTTTCATAACCAAACCATTTTAGTGCCCACTGACTTCCAATTGTATTTTTTGTCCATACAAAGGGAAGTCAATGGGATCCGGACCAGTTTACCTACCAACATTCCTCAAAATATATTTTGCGTTCCACAGAAGTCATACAGGTTTAAGCCCCGTTCACACAAAGAATGATATCGTCTGTTTATTCTAAGCGCACGTGCGTCTGCAGCTTTAAATTCTTGAGCTCGTTATAGCAGGATGGATTCTGATTGGCAGTCAATGTTTGTATCATTCTTCAGCTGGAAAAAAATCGTTCTGAAAATGACTCCAACGATATCGTTTCTCTGTGCCTTTATCGTTATAGCTGTAGTGTGGACCGTGCTTGGTGTGAACGGGCCTTTAGAATGACATGGAGGTTATTAAATGATAGGGCTGGGTTTTGACACAAATTTCACGATTCGATTCGGATTCACAAGCTTGCAATCGAATTCAATTTCTGATTTGATATGATTAGATTCAATATCGATTATTTTGGCTATATATCAGGTATATATCCAAACATGCCAAATTTGTAAGGAAAAAAAAATCTCTCAACTAATGCTGTAAAATATACATGGTCAGTTGGTACTAAATTACCATAATATTGAAGGTTTAAATTGACTGATTTGTATACAAACGCTTAAATAACACTCAATGTCAAAGTTTTTATAACAATAACAACTACATAATTATATTTCTACTCCAATTCGTTTTTGAAATATAAACATTTACATGGTGGCTGTCATAACTTGATGGCTTGATTCAAACAAATAAAAAAAATTAAGAACAGTAAAAATTATAATGAATATGTTATATGGTGCATATATTTAGCAAAATGCTCCTCTCTTAAGAGTTTATTTCTATAGCCGACTAATGAGTTTATGGTCACTGAATATGTTTTTTTCTGAAGTAAATATGACGTTACGTGACATTGTTTACAAGTGGTTATATTGACATCTTTCCGTGGTTGAAACACCGATTGAGTGATTACATGAGACAGGACACAGATTTCAGTAAGTTGTACTCTTTCTTTTAACATACCTTCGGATGTTTATTTTGCACTGAAACTGGTATTAAAGCGGAGGAGATGATCAGTTTACATGCGCTTCACGCTGCTGCTTCTCTTGAGGTGCTACAGCCATTTGACACTCCACACTGAACCGCCAAAATGGCATTTATTGTTTAAACACTGCAATAAAATGGACAGAATTTGAAATCTGAGACTTTGTTTCATATCAAAAGTAACAAAACACAAAGCTTATTGTGATTTATGTTCCATTCATTAACTGAAAACAGGCTAGACTAATCTGTCCAATCAATACTTTTTCATAAAAATGAGAATCGATTAAAATCGAGAAATTGATATTTTTTTAACCCAGCCCTATTAAATGATGACAATTTTCATTTTTGGGTGAACTATCCCTGTATCAATCGTGGTCACCATTCACTTTCACTGTATGGGAAAGAGCAGCTTTGACATTCTGCTAAATTTCTCCTTTTTCTTCTGCTTCACAGAAGAAAGTCATACAG